TAACAATAGTTTCTTATGAAACAGAATCACTGAAAGATTCTTTGGCTTTACAATTTTTCTGGATACCTTCAATTTTTATTTTATTTTATACTATGGGGAAGCCTTTTAAAACTTACAAAAGCTTTCCTGAGATCAGTAAACAAACTCTCCACATGAAGGTGAAGTAGGTAGCCATAGAGTGAAACCCAGAGGAATGATCGCCACCATATTGTCTACAAACTGGAGTACAAACCACAATCCCCACACAGGATGATAAAAACAAAAGTTCATCTTCGAGCCTTAGTACTAAAAAACCTGTGTCGTGAGGCAAGCGAGCATGTGCCGACTCTCTTCTGTGCAGGCTTTAGAAGCTTCTCTGGCCAGGGCCTGCTGGAGGCACATCATTGGCAGTGTAACTGTGCAGGGGGATCTTCTATTTGCCTCTCCAGGTCCACTCTCCTCATCGGCATCCCATTGTGAGCCCCACTAGTTGGCCTACAGGGATGGCTTCCAGTCCCCTAACTTCTTTATGTGACTGGCCAGTGGGAATGACAGAGGGAGACCAGAGAGTGAGAGGAGAAGCTGTCAGGCCATGTGTGCCTCCAGCTAACAGCTTGGCATGTCAGTGTGGATTGGCTGTGCCTCTCTACTGAGGGCTGCAGCTCTCCACACCACTCAGTCCCCTCTTAAGTTGCTAGCTTCCGGATAGCTACTCCTACCCTTACCCCTTCAGGTCCAGGAGTGGTGAAAGCTTCTCATTGTTATGGGCCCCAGAGTAGTGCCTTCTTATCACTTTTCTAAACCCTGCCTACAATCTTTATGAGCAGTCTCTGATAAGCTCTCCTGAAATCACCCAATTTCAGTGTCACCTGATTCCTAACAGACTCTGGTTGATACAGTAATATATGTAATTATCCTAGAGAAAATAAACTTAAGTGCATCTGTACTTAACAAAGCAAAAGGAAAAAGGTGATCTAATGTGGCTTAGAAAAAATTTTCATTCCAGTTTGGGATAAACAGATGTTTACCCCATGCTACCTTTATGCTTCAATTGTCTAGAACATTCTTATGCCTTCCAGTCAATTTTTAAAAAATATTTTAGGCAAGTTCCTAACTCCTAGACAATATCGCCACATAGTACAAACTAGGGCATTTAGAAGTGGAATCGAAGACTGGTTATCTTATGAGACAAATAGCCTTTACCACATCAAATTTAAAGGTAGACATGTTCCTCTTAGGTTCACCTTGTATTATATCACAACTTTTCCCACTGCTCATGGCTGGGTTTTACCACAGCCCCAAGCCTCACTTGCTAATCAAGTTTATTGGATACAGACGTGTCTGGCATAAGGCATAGAAAAGGTGGCATGAACTCACCATGAGTTTACCATTTAAGTATCTGAGGAGCCCAGTAAAAAAGCAAGACTATGCCGGGCTCAGTGGCTCAGCCTGTAATCCCGCGCCTTTGGGAGGCTGAGGTGAGTGGATTGCCTGAGTCCGTGGGTTCGAGACCCGCCCGGGCAGGTGCGACCTCATCTCTACAATAAATCAAAAAATTAGCCGGGCATGGTAGTGCCCGCCTGTAATTCCAGCTACTCAGAAGGCTGAGGTGGAAGGATCACTGGAGCCCAGCAGGTCGAGGCTGCGGATGGCCGGGAGTGGCCACTGCACTCCAGCCTGGGCGACAGAGTGAGACTCTAACTCAAAAAAAAAAAAAAAAAAAAAAGCAAGACTACCCCACACAAGCTTGTTTTAATAACAAAGTTCTATATTCAAAAGAGAAAAGACAATTCTGAGAATATGAGGATTGTCACTCAGATTATCCAAGTCCCATTTCAAGGAAATGGGGAACAAAATGCTCTTTTCACTCAAGATTACTGTGAGATATTCTAAACACAAAGCAGAATCACACTGATAATAATATAAGAAAGCACAGCACAAGAGATGGAAATGAGTCTGTTGCATCTGTGCAGAGCAATTCAAGCACCATAGTAAATGAACCCTGAAAGTTTCCCACTCACCCACCCAGAATAGAAGTCAGCTCCAGCACCTGTAGCAGTCCCTTGAGAACGCTCTGGAGAATGGGGGGCTTCTCTCAGCCAGCGAATCACCAAGTCTCTGAGAGTTCACAGATTGGCCCTTGATGGAGGGCACATATCATTGGAATGGCATTGGAGGCTCTGGTAGGAGCCAAGGAAGCTTGGAGCTGCTAAGGGAGTCAGCCACAGTGTCAGCAGCTGCAGACGATGCTGATGGCTCTGAAGAAGCAGGAGAGAATAGTCTTGGCAGTGGGAACCAGCAACAGCGTTGAGCTACCCTCACATGTTGACATGAGAGCTCTCCAGAAGCCATCATTTAAGGGGCCAGCTTCTCTTTCTCTTATTTAAGCTCTCTCTCTTTTTTTATCGTGAACAAAAGTGAGTTTATAATATTTGGTGATTTCTTAATAACTCAGAAAAAGAGTATCAAACCATAAGTTATTAATAGAGTGAAATTAAAGCAATGGCAAGTCCAATGGGGCCAAGGGCAACACAAGGATGGGGTGGGGGGTGTCTCAGGATGAAAAACACCATCTTTTTCCCAGCTCTGCCGAAGACTAGGCTTTCGTGTCAACAGCACAGAATTCCAACAGCACACATAAAATAGGAATGCTAGAGTCTTAGCCTCTCATCCTTCTAATGTAAGGTACAATACACTCCAGGAAAAATAAAGAACACCGAAGATGTAAAAGCACAAGACTTCGAACACCTTTGAGCTATCTTGGATCTAATTTCTATTTCTGTGTCACAGAGTAGCAAATTTTGTATGCTTCTCTAAGGGCAGGGAAACCAATGGAAATACCACAAAATGCATTCAGTTACAAACCAAATGCTTTAAAGACTCCAGTTTTCTGAATAACAAGAGTTTTAAAAACATCACAGGGAAAATGATTAACTTCCTCAAAATTAGCAATAACTTAAGAGGCAACCATATACCAGTGCCCAGTAATGGGGTAAAAAATAAGTTTCCTGCAGGCATAGGGTACCTTATTCCTCTTTGGTGCTTTCCCCACCCCAAAGTATATCTGCAAATTAATGATCATCTAGAAGTTGCACAACATGCTGAGCTCTAGACCCAGGAGCTCAGCAGGTACGCCACAGTACTGCCAACTGAGGGAGCTGGCCAGGGAGCTGGACACCTTCTCTAGACAATGGCTGCCCATTCTGTCTCACTGTGTCATGGTGCTGGTAGAACCCACCCAATAAGACTACTATTATTAAACTCTCCCTTCCTCCCCCTTTTCCCCATCTCATCTAAGACTTTAGGTAGCTCTGAGAGCACATTATGTTAAAGAAGACTTGGAAAGTTGCTGCCAAAGGAAATTATAATGCTCCCCCCACCCACTGGAAATGGAAGAGGCCAGAAAGCAAAGACTAAGAAATATCTATAGAAATATAAACACCCCAAAATATTACTTGAGGTGAATCCAAAAACCATTTATGACATTTAGCGCCTTCTCTACTCAGCAAATGCCCATTTTCACAAGGAAGATTGCCATGATACACTGGCACAATGCTAAAATCACCAATGTAAACTAGGAATATGAACCCTCAGGATTCTGGTTTTCTATTAAAGCAAACTTTATTACTTTAATAATTCACATTGTGCCAAGTTATAAGAAAAATAACTTGGTATGTGGTTCAATACTGTAATTACAAGCATTCCAATTTTGGAAAATCAAATGTCGGCAGAAAGACTGAAACAACTATGTGTATTTTCATTAAGAACATGATAGTTTTCATTCTGTAAATCAAACACTGAAAAAAAAAATGCTACGAAGTAACTAACATCATAGGGAAGTCCCAAGTTGCAATTATGCAAATGAAGGCTAGAACTGATTCACCTGCTCACATGTTCTCAAATACTGGAGTAATTTATTGACACTACAGAAAAACCTACTGAGCCATTCAAACTTTGATGCACTCATGTCTATCACCATATAGAAAAATTAACTCAAAATGGATCAAGGACTTAAATGCAATACCTCAAACTGTATGAATCTCAGAAGAAAACTTAGGGAACACCCTCCTGAACAACAGAGTAGGCAATGAGTTCATGGCCAAGTATTCAAGCCTATCAATAAAGAGGAAAGAAGTATTTGTCTATAACTATACTCACTTTCCTAAGACAACCAACAAAAATATAAGCATGTATAAGTAATCTCCAAATATGAGGAAAAAGGAAAAAAAGTTTCAGAGATATACATACAAGCAATTAAGATATCCTTTAATTCTTCGGTTGTTTTTTTTCTTTCTTCTTTTTTTTTTAGAAAGTAGGATTTATTAAGAGGACAGAAAAGCTCCCCACAGTGGGCGGGGACCTGGAGGGATTGCCCCAATGTTTTTTGTTGTTGTTGTTTTTTTTTTTAATAGCGTGTGAACCTTTCACTTAAAGAGTAACAATATCTAGATTTCCATTTCATTTAAATAAATTCAAGTAAAGTTCCTGGGGGAGATTTCCAAGAGTTAGGTTGCTTTAAAACTGGCCATGCATTAAATAAAGCTTTGTCTGACAAAAGTGAACGAGTAACTGATATGGTATCTGTACATTCACTCTGCACAAGGTTCCTTTATCTCAAAAGCATTACTCAAAGACAAATAACAAATCAGATTACAGCTCTGGAGAATCATACTCTGCCTCTTCCAGCAACACTGCCAGCTCAAAAAGCATTATATGAGGACCAACCACCTGCTTCCTGAGGGATTTGTAATCTGCCTTCTCCATCAGTTCCCCAAAGATTCTCTACTTCACACACATGCCCCATTTCATTCATTCCACTGCATTCATCTTTCATCTCTAAGAGATTCATTAACAATAAGTGTGCAAATGTTCACTTTAACAGCAAAATCAAAAAAAGAAGCCTTTACCATTACATTTTATAATGAAATGAAACCCCAAATTCTGAGCGTCTGCTAAGCTAGAACTAAAAGCCACTGCAGGAAGAGATTCATTCCTGGGTCCCTGGCTTCTTTTTACATTACCTGCTTCAGTGTACTTCAATCCCACTTTTTCTTCTGTGTCTTTTGTCTTTGGGGGTGGCCAGACAGCTTGGAGTCTTCCAGGAGTCCTATCGTCCTGCTCAGTGGGGCTGTGGTCAGGCTGTTGAAAAAGCAGGCAAAGAATAAGTCATATGAAATGTGACCAGAGCTAATTAGTTCCTGAAAACAAACATGCGAATTCTAATTCTAAAATTAATTTTAATAGTCAGTTGCACATTGCCCTCACTTACTGTAACTGAGACACCTTACTATAGTATGATCCTTTCCCCCCGAAATGTAAAGTGATCAACTGAGGTAAAAAATTCCAAAAAAACAATTCCCCAAAAAAAGGCTCTGTATGTATTTTATGTACAACCTTTAAGAGATGATTCTCCTCATATAACTATTTTATAAAGCACAAATATACTTTGAGCTGAAGATAAGACACAAATGTGCTACATTCAGGTGCATTTATAGGAATGTTTACAAATGTATCCCACATTGCCAGGGTTATTTATAATATAAAGACTAATTTTGCCTTTTCCATGAATATTAGCAGTGGGCCAAGACACTCTTCCTCAAGCATTTCACACTGCTAATTTCATTTTTCCCCTTTCCTATAAAAAATAAATGAGACTGCTTTCAATATTCAAGTTATTTTTATAGGAGTTAAATTTTCCAACTAGGAGAATGCCGTATATGTTTAGTTTTTAAACTACAACCTAAGATAATCTTGCCAAAGACTTTCATTTTTAACATCTTAATTGAATATATTAAATATATGAGAGGATAATCATATACTGAATTGATATTAAGCAAGACATTCTATCATTGTTCTTATCATCCTTTAAGATCTACTGGACTGGTGCTTACTAGTCTTTGTAAACTACCTGAGTTAGTTGTCTTTGAATAACAGCTTCCACTAATCAGATGCTTCTCATGTGCTACCTTTGCTTAATGCTCACAGCAATCATATAAGGTAAGAGTTATTTTCCTCATTTTGCATATGAGGATATTGAGACACAGAGATTACCAACGTTAACCAGCCAGTAAATGGCAAGAGTTAGAATTAAAACCCAAGTCTCATTCTAAATCCAGTGCTCAATCATGAAGTCTCCCAACCAATGTGGAGCAGTTTAATCACATCACAAACACACATTGTGCCAAATGGCAGACTTTCAAAGGAAATATACAGTTTCCACAGAGGTATAATTAAGTGGTGAAGAAACCCCATAAACCTGGGCTATACTTCCATATTGCAACACTTCCTCATGCTACTTAGTTTTTATAAGTACATTAACTATTAACGATTAAACTCAGAGAGACAGTTACCCCTTCCTACCCGCACAGCTTTGCATATATTCCTCTAACAATATTCCAGAGATATATAAGGAAAAAATGAAAGCACTTCTGTCCAGCTACATACTTCTTACAAGGACAGTGTAATTTTGCTATGACCATTTTTCAACTAAAAGAGAGTCAACTAACAATAGGGAATTGGGATTCATCTCGGGAGGAAACCCGAAAAAAGAAATACAGCAGCACCACATTTTTTATGACAAAATGCAAAACCCAATTCTACATACGCTTCTGGAATCCGAGGGGCCATCCGCTGGCCTTGACTTGGACCGTTCAAACACAGCTCTTAGCGACTCCTTCTCATGTCTCATCTTGCGCTTGAGAGCTTCCAGCTCAGAGGTGTCAGCTGTGGTCCCCTTTTTGGGGGGACGGATGAATAAGGCTTTAAAGGCCTCCAAGGCAGTCTCTGGCGGCCTTGGCTTGACCTCACCAGCCTGGGTCTGGGCTTCTTCAGGGCCTCTCTCGCTCTCCTGGTCCACACTGCAGCCCATCTCTTCTCTCCTGGGCGACTCGGGGTCTGCTCCCTTCAGTTCGGTTTTGGGCATGTCAATGTTGAGCAGCTGAGATAGCTGCTCCAGGAGAGTGGGAGTGGCCTTTGGATCAGTTGCTTTCTCCCCACTCTTCGTTGCCTGCGGCCCTGTCTGCACTAGGGACTTCTGCACAGGCTGGGTCAATTTGAGCAAAGCCAAGTCCCCATCCTTTGGTTTAATTTCAGTAATGGTTTCCCCTCCCTCGGCTGTAGCCCCTTTCTTCAGCACTCGAAGCCCACTGAAAAAAGCAGGAAGCTGGAATGACTTCTCTCCAGGAACTTGTTGTTTAGAAGACACACGCTCGGTAACACCAACACTCAAACTCTGGTCTGTTACTGCAGGTAGGACTTGGGACTCGTCTTCTCCAGCCTGGCCCTGGCTGGGGCTGTGCTCTGTCTGACAGCCACCATTGCCAGGCTCTAGTGTGCTACTTATCTCAGGTGGAGTCCTTTGAGGATCTTCTGCACAGGGCTCTGCGTCATCCATTTCCCCAGTGGCAATATTTTCCATAGAATCTCCCGGTTTTTCTTTGGGCTCCTGAGATGGTTCGGATAAAACAACAATGGGGGGCTTTGGGCCATTTGAGCTGCTTCCCTCCTCTGGCTCCTGGCCACCGTCATCAGAGTCGGAATCACTGGTAGTGTGCACGAGGGTTCCACGAACCCAAATGACATCGTCCGTGGTCACATTCAAAGTAGCGAGGGGAATAAACTTTTGACCAGAGGCAGAAACCCCTGCTTCTGCTTTTCTCTGACTTCCCTCTGATTCTGTCTCCACCCCTGCAGTCTTCCCATCATTTCCGAGGTCAGGTGGAACCCGAGCCTCTGACTCTCCCGGGTCCGGATCCGAGCCATGGCTGGGGTCATACTGCCGAGATGTGGGACCCACGTCTAAACTGCGGAATGCTTTCAGCACAGCATCTTCCTCTTCAGGGTTCACAGATTCCAGTTTACTCGTCAATCCGAACAGAGATTTCATGGAGAACTTACTCAGGATCGACTGAGCCATTTCTAGTCTGGCTTCGGGTCTTTCTGGTTCCGAGACATCACTGCCATCCAGAGAATGACCAACGTCCTCCATGTCTCAGTAACGCCCTTGGTGGAAGTTCTGGCTTGGGTTACCTTCCCCTGCTCTCTCAGTTTATCCACTCCATCTGCTCTTAATTTACAGGACAGAGAGCAACAGGACCCGGGAGCCGGGCTCGGCCGCACAGCGAACACACTTGGTCTCTTTCGGGTCACCGCGCCCTCCTTCCGGTTTACGCGGTGAAGGTGCGCCCAGGGCAACTGTAAAAGCCCCGTGGAGTCTGTGCCCAGAGCCGCGGAGGCTGCGCACCTTACTACACACGGACCAGGGAGGCTGCTCTTCTGGGACTTCCGTATTTATCCCCGTGGACAAAAGGCTTTTTGTCACAGGGAAAGTCAGCCTGCCCCGCAGTCCCAGCCCAGGACTTCAGGAGGAGCTCCGCCCCAGGGCTGGCGGTTCTCTGGTGGCATTCGACTTCCTCATTGGCGAGCAAGTTGAGGCTCCTGAAAGTGCTGAGCCGGCAAGCTGATCCTCACGGCCCTTAACCACCGCCGAGCAGCCCAGGGATTCAGAAGTGAATCAGCAGAAAAGGACTGAAATACTTCTTACACGGGCCCTCTTTTCCGTCTGGATTACAACCAGGGACCTGGGCGGACCAGGCCAAAAAACTAGCAGTGCATCCTGATCGACAGCTTAAACCAAAGAAGCAAGTACGAAAGAAATAGATCATCTCAAAAGACCCAGGACTCTCAAAGCAGTTAATTTATTGCCCTCGACGCTTTTTTTTTAAATTTTTTAAGTGCCTTCTTCCGCTTCCCTGTAGGTTTCATCTGGAATGCAGATTTTAGCTGCGGGGGCCAAGGAAGGAAACCTACACGACTGGTTTCAGATTACTGCTGTTTTAGCTCTGCCCTGGCTGTCTCAGTGCTCTACAAACAGGTACTAGGCAAGCACGCCCACCACGCCCAGTGTCCACCAGCCATAGGGCGGCAGAGTAAACAGCCCTGGCCTGGCAAGAATGATTACCCTTCACACTCCCTGTGGCAGCCTCAGGCTTCTTTCTGCTCAGCAGCTGTGACTTCCTGGCTTCTTGGGAATCCTGGCAGCAGCAAGATGCCTCTCTCGACTTTGGTGTTCCTACCAACTAAATGAAACCTGGCATGACACAACATAACACGCAACCTACTTTGTTAGACAAAGCAATTCAAGGATCCCCAAGGATCCACATTCCCCTAAAAGGCAACACATCTGAAAGGTCTCTATCACAGACCCAATTTGCCTAAAACAAAAACAAGACAGACAAAACAACCTCCAAACAGCAGTTTAATGTAGTTTCCACCACTCTGATTACATGCTGGGAACCTGGCAACTAACGACGGGGTGAAAAAATGCAGCTTTGTTTCCTAGCTGCATAGCTGCCTCTTGGGACGGCTGCCTGTCTTACCTGAAGGTCTCAGCATGCTTCAAATCCAGTCCAGTCTGCAGGTGTGTGGTGAGAGTCTGAGATGGACAGAGCACTATGCTGGATCCAGAAGCGAGTCAAACTGGCTCAGTGGTAATTGCCAGTTCTTATTGAGCAAAGCTCCAAGAAGACTGCAGTCAAGTGTAAAAACTCAAACAGCAATTTCTTCTGCAAAATGAGAACCGTAGCCACAAGCAAGATGACAGTCTTGCTTATCTCCAACAGGGAATGGCTGTGTGTCACACTGATAACTTAAGCCCTGTTTCCCAGTACTAAAAATGATGCTTATGAGAAATTCTGATTGCAACAATACATTTCTAGCAATATGTTCAAAGGGGACCCCACTCAAATAATAATATAATTATATCCCACCAACCTCTATGGGAAAGTTGAGAGCACTTTCTAAACCCTGATTTGATCTTGTGTCTAAATGAAACTTCTCTTTTGCTCCTAATCACACCATTGGGGCGGGGGGAGGGGATTATTAACTGAGGTACACTTAATCAGAAAGCCACCAGGACACTGCAGAAAAATTCATTGGTGTGTTTTAAGCCTTAGAACAAGGTTTCTGTGAGAAAAAAATGCCCATTGATAAAAATCAGACTTCTGCTTCTTCAAGATTGTAGAAAGAAGGAATCATCACACCAGATCATAAGATCAGCTTTTTTTCGTTTTTTGTTTTTTGAGTTGGAGTCTCACTCTGTCGCCCAGACTGGAGTGCAGTGGCCGCTCCCAGCCACCGCA